GACTCTTTCTGCTACTTTCTGCTTACCCTGATCTCAGGGTAGGTAAGATCTAACACCTAGCCTTCTTGGATAAGGCCAAAAAATCTTGGATGTCCTGTGTGTAAGGTGTGCACTTTAATTTTTCCTTGGTGGTCCTTAAATCGATATAAGTAAGCTTTGGCCGTCACCTGGGCAAATTTCAGAATTAATTCCTACCATATTGAAAATGTTTGATGTGTCTCACAAGCTCATTTGACCTTATGCAGTTGTGATCATGGTAAAACACTTACAGAAAGGAAAAAAACAACAACTCTTCTGTTCTTGCATTCTGTGTTTCAAGGTACAACCGTCTGCTGAACGTGGTGCACCAGTCTCTGAAGGACCTGCAGAAGGCTCTCAAGGGTCTGGTGGTGATGTCACAGCAGTTGGAGGACATGTCCAACAGCCTCTTCATAAATGCCGTGCCCGCCATGTGGGCTGGGAAGGTGCGTATACGAAGCTAAAAAATCATTATTTAATTTGAGGTGTGCTGACAAAATGAGTTACTTCTCAGATTTTAGCCCTGTAAACATAGAAACGTCAAATTTATAGGTTTAGGTTTTTACAATTTATGAGCGTGAAATGATAGATGAGATGTTAAACTCGAAGAAAATGGCATCAATTACAAATTTTCAAATTCGACCTTTGTGTCGATTTTTGGTCGATATCTCCATTTACTGACTGTGAGAAGTAACTTATTTTATTAGCACACTGTATGCTTTCTTGTTGGAACTTCTGCTGATTGCAGTGATCTTGTGATTTATGTGTGATGGAAAAGGGATGGAAAAAGGATTTGCATATGGGGCGTTTACTATAGCTTGTTCACTTTCCTCTGACTGCGTTAAAAAAATTGTAGCTCATTTAGGAATTTACCTATGTCCAGGAAACTTTGCATGGCTCTTCTGCAGGCCAGCAACCTAACAGAAATATTTTGATCCAGTAATTAAAAAGTTTTTCTTTTTTGGTCCCTTTATTAAAAACAGCTCTTTGGATACAGGATCCCTAAAATAAATGACTTACAGTAACCTTGCTTTCAAATTGATCATTTTGAGACAGCGACACCACTCTGCCCACATTTCAGTGTAAGCTTGTAGATTTCGTACCCCTGCTGTCTAGACTTCTCCTCGTGCTCCACCTGAGTCTCGAAAATTACTCATCCTGTGTGTTGAATCATGTTTTTTAGACGAATGTTAAAGTGTGGTGTTAAGGAAAATTGTCAACTTTTGAATCTTTTAGGTGTATGCTGTAAAACCCATATTATTCTTTTGGACCCCCTTCAGGCTCACATCAAAGAAAATGTGTTGATAAATGTGTCAGAACCTAAGTTTGCAGTGACCTTTATGAATGGGCTTTTAGATTCTGTTGATCATCCAACTTTTAGCCCCGCATGCAAAGATCTGAGAAGATAAAACAGAGCGATTTCATTTTATCTTGTTTCAAGTACTGTCAGACGAAAGTGAGCAAGCTATAAATGTCCTGTTCTTGTACCACAAGTTTGTGTGATTTTGGAAGAAAAATTATTTGTGGAAGCATCAGTGTCTTTGTTTAAGTAGTTACATGCTTCGCCTTCCCAAATAAAAGACCTGAGTTTGATTCCTGTGGGGGAAAATGTTTATCCATTATCTCAATCTTTCTGTCATGATGTTGTATTCTACTTAGCTCAGATTGGCCCTGACAGGCAAGGTTGAAACCCATCTCCAAAATGATTTAAATTGTGTCAATAGGGGTGTAAAACATCTACATTAAAAAAATTTTTTTTAAATGTGTCATGTCTCAAGCAAAGTGTTCTGTTCTCTATGTTTATAACGTTGATTCTTAAGAGTCCTAGTTCCCTGAGAATAAAGGACCCATCATATGTGTTAGCTCTCGAAAGCTCTTCTTTGCTATCAAACATCTATCATCCTTATCTCTCCTTCTTTAATGTGTTTGATACTCTCTTGTAACACCTGTAATCTTCAGCACTTTTATGACCTAATTGTGTTGCAAGTGCCGCAAAATGCTTACTAAAAGAAAAGTAAAATATTAAAACAAAAAGATATAAAACAATAACAGGTGACATATAAAGAATGATATTTCATATGAATCTGCACTTGGTTCCTCTGCAGGCCTACCCCTCTCTGAAGCCCCTGGCATCCTGGGTGACAGACCTGGTGGCTCGTATGGAGTTCATACAGACCTGGATTGATAAAGGAATCCCCTCCGTAAGTTTTGTTTTTTTCCCCTTCATTTGGTTCAGGTCCTGTTTTTGTCTATGAGGGTTCCTGCAATTGGGCAGTAGAAATTTATTCTTCATTACTTACGTGGTTGGAGAAAAGTTATCATGTCAGTGGTTCAATACAATAGCTGCTCCTCCCTCCTCTCCAGGATCCATGAAAATGTTGGCTTGCTGATTGTGCCAGTGGGTAGTTGGCGGGTGCTCTGGTGTGGTGTGCTCCTTCTTTCCTATAATACATATATCTTCTCTTTCTCCCCTCCTTCTTTTTTGTGTTTGTTACTCTCTTGTAACACCTCTAATCTTCGGCACTTATATGACCTTATTGTGTTGCAAGTGCTGTAAAACTCTTACTAAAACTTAAAAAAAAAAAAAAGATTGTGCCAGTTATCAGCTGGTTGGATATTTTTCTGGCTTTTTCGCGCAGGTTGCTGGGAGTAGAAGTCCAATATAATACAGAAATGTGCCTATTGACTGTTGTGCTCAAATGTTTAGAGTTAATTTGTGCAGAGTTTAGAGAGAAAAAAGAACAGGAAAAAAATGTTTATAATCATGATTTTAGAATGGTTTGTTTTGATGAAAGTGGCAATGATGATGGTATTGATAACATGAAATCATCTGTTTGAAATTAATGATTTTTGTTTCATTTTAATCTATATTAGTAGGGTACTTCCCCCCTCCCCCCAAAAAAGACAATTCTAAGACATTTCAGCTTTGACAAAAAAATGATCATGACGATGATACGTATAATACTGAGGATGATAATAAAAATCAGTAAGTCGACCTTCTCTTTCATCTAATGGTTGGAGTTGAAATAATTCTAATGCTTATGATCATGATTGACCTGACAGATATTGTGTTTGCCTTTTTGCTTTTTTTAGAAGGTATATTGACTCTAAATAAGCTTGTAAGTATATATTTTCTTAGGTTTTCATCTACATTTTTTCTGAAATTCGTTTAGAACATTTTCAGATCTGATTTTCTCCGCACAAAGATGTTTTTTGGTTAATTTCCTCGGTAACAGGTACCATTTTGTTAGTCAGTTAGTCAGTCTCATTCATACCACTCACGGTCTCAGCGTATGTATGTATGTATGTGAGTGATGTTGTCCCTGAAGAAGAGGAGCACTTATCTTTTTCAATTCTTTTCTTTAACAGGTGTTTTGGATTTCTGGATTCTTCTTCCCGCAAGCTTTCCTGACTGGCACCCTTCAGAACTTTGCCAGGAAGAAGGTCATTTCCATCGACAGCATCTCATTTGATTTCCAGGTATGACAAGTTTAATGATTTGTGTTTTATATGATATTTTGCCTTGATGAATGTATTATTTCTGCGAAAAAACAATTAATTTTTGTGGGTTTCTGTCGGCCCCTACTTGTAGAATGTTTCATATATTATGGTACGTTAAAAAATTTAAGGGAGGGAAGGGAAAAGAAACTCTAAAGAAAAAAAAAAGAATGTTTATAGATTATTTAACACATGTTTAACGACATAAGTTTATGATAGGAGATGAACAGGAATGCAAAATCAGGAAGTTTATAAATGGGTTGCATTAGAATATATTGACTGCTCAATGATACGCCATTTTAAGAAAGTGACATATGATGGAGTTTTATACCGAGCAGTCGATATGTAGGTTGGTCAAAGTGATTTTAGACTATGCAGGTCATAGAGAAAGATGGGGGGACAGAGGCGGCAGATGTAACAGAGACATTGGTAGAAAAGCAGCAGATTAAAAAAGAAGAAGAAGAAGAAGAAGAAGAAGAAGAAGAAGAAGAAGAAGAAGAAGAAGAAGAAGAAGAAGAAGAAGAAGAAGAAGAAGAAGAAGAAGAAGAAAAACAGAACAAAAATGAATGGAGAAGGAGAAAAAAGAAAGAGAAGCGAGAACATGTACAAACTGTTGGAAAACAAAGGAAAAAATGCCCAATTTTTTGGGCATTTGGCCTATTTTCATTTAGCCATCATATTTTGGGGGGGGGGGGGGTGAGGGGAGGGGCAAGTGATCAGGAAAGTGGCAAAAGCTCAGGAAAATATTTCATTTTCTGTCTGTAGGAAATACAAGAGATGCTTTTTTTTTTCCGATCACTTAATACATGACTTATTCTGAAGCACGCTGGTCTGTTCTTGTTTGATCAGGTCATGAGGGAAACTTATCAGGAACTGCAAGAGTCCCCAGAAGATGGCTGCTACATCCGCGGTCTGTTTGCTGAAGGCGCGCGCTGGGACAGTCTGAGGCATATGCTGTCCGAGTCCAGACCCAAGGAGCTGTACACGGACATGCCTGTTCTCTGGCTCATGCCGGAAGCCAACCGGAAGGCTCCAGAGTCCGGCATTTATGACTGTCCAGTTTACAAGACTCTGACCAGAGCAGGTATGTATCGTCTTCTTTTCACACTTCTCGTTCTTGTCTTTTTCATGCTATTACTATTCTTCTCTTCCCACGCTCCCCCACCTCCTTTTCTCTGTTTCCTTTGTCCAGAGTAGTGGATGTTCTGATGTGGTTTGCGCCTATCATTGTGTTTATTACTCTCTTGTAACACTTCTAATCTTCTGCGCTTATGTGACCTAAATATGTTGCAAGTGCCGTTAAATGCTTACAAAAAACAAAAAACGTGTTATTCTCGAAGTTACTAATTCTATAGACAATAGATCACAGTGGGAAAAAATAATAAAACTGCAGTTACTTCCCTTTGGTCCTTTTTCTGTGTGCGAATCCATCGTGTCCAGTGACATGATTATCACGTTTTATTAAGCTAGATCCCCTTGTTATATTATTATGCTGCTTAGTCATTCTGCCAAACAGGAATAAATGATTGTAAAGAAGTCAAAATTGTCCTATGTACACAGGAAGAGTGACTAATGTAGTGGTCGTTGTTATCGCCCTCAGGTACCCTGTCCACCACTGGCCACTCCACAAACTTTGTGTTTTCTGTGGAGATCCCGACTGACAGGCCACAAGAACACTGGATCAAGAGAGGTGTTGCTTTGCTCTGTGCTTTGGACTACTAGACACCCACAGACCTGGCCAGCACAGGTCAAGACAGACTGCACGACACAAAGGAGGATACAACCCTACCAAATTTTCCATTCTACACTTTTTGTTTTAACTCTTATACTACCAGGCGGTTTCCTTTACCTGGACTGGGCTGTATCTGTTACCTGCTTTTAGATTCTGCCTATCCTGAGACAAATTAAAGATTTTGAGTTTAGTTTTCAATATTAGCCACATGTATCACAAATGAAAATAAAGGGGAAATAATGACCTCTCTCAACATGTTGCTAAAAATGGTAGCCTAATTCTTCAGCCTGAGGTTTCAGTTTCAATTATTGCAAAAGTAGGACTGGTCTTGAAGCAGAAAATGGAAAGCTGTGAAACACAGCTCACTGTCCAGGGTGGAAGTAACATGAGCTGTGAAACACGGTCCGTTGTTGTGAAAAAGTTAAGTGGACAAGATAATATGTGAGGCAGTATGGTGAAATCTGGCACTCGTCAAAATGACAAAATCGGAGAAACAGGCATTTTTTCGCCAAACTGGACATTTTTACTGATTTTTTTTTTTTTGCTTAAACTCTTTTATGCCCATATAACAACACATTTGCATGTGAATTTTACTGAAAAACATTGATTAAATGAACAAAATGTGCTATTTTTCAGTTTTCAAAGACTCTTTAGCTATTGGAGTTGCCAAACTTTGGTGACCATTTTCTCGCTAATTTCAACACTGAAACCAGGTGACCTCACCTCCTTCAACCGCAAATATCGTGAGTTCTACTCAAGATAAATGGATATTTTCAATGAAAGCAAGGCAAATAAATCGGCTTTCAGATGACCCCAATAACTCCATATACCGAAAAATTGACAAGCGCCTGATTCCACCGCTTCGTGACACATATGGACATTATTTGAAACATAATTCCCCCCATCATTTTTTTAATAGTTTTACTTTTGGTCACCCTTTCTTTCCCTACATATCAATCAGTCACATCAATAATAAGGACTAATTTTAATTTGCACTATCATGTGAAAGCAAGCTTTGTGTTAGATTTTGCAGTTTTCCTGTGCCAAAAAACAAGATTTGGTTTTCTGGTGTAAGATATTTCAAGTTATGGTGTCAAGTTAACATTTTTTACCTGTATTTTTATGTAGGCCTAGAGATCCATATATTCAGTGCTAAAGCTGAAACTGAAATTATAGAGATAATTTTTTCACATATTAATGTCAGTATATTATGTATGTATGGTTTGTCTCAACCAATCTTTAATTGTTGCTTGTAAATCATACGGAGTTAGGAATTTCCTACTGTTTTTTTTTTATTACCTTTGTTTGTTAGGAAAATCACAAAGACATAGAATATATTTCAATCAATCATTTTTATCTGCTGTGATATTTTTACCAATAGGAAATGCATACTGTGATGTAATGAATAATGTGTTTTTAAACTTTAGATTATTTTTTAAAATGAATTCTAAAGGCAAATAAATTAGACACCCTTCTTGTTCATCCTGTACTTTGCTGTGATATTATTGGGTTTTATTTGTCCAAATGAAATACAGGCTTTTTATAAACATATGATCGACTTCCCTTTGTATTCTTTCTTTTCTTTACTTTTATTTTCCTTTTAATTTGTGTTGTAGAGAGTGATCCCTATAGCAAAGGGTTTCTCACAGATAATAACTGTTGAGTGAAATTTCTATCTTCAGTGGTATGTCATGTGGATTGTAATGATCATCTGGGTAAAATTCAAAATTCATTCCTATCAAACTGAAAATACTTTAGTCAGTATAAAAACATGTGGAGTACCTTCGAAATTGGAATGTGGCTTCCTGACTTAGTAAAGCAAAGGGCCCAACGGATTAGAAAAAACGATCACATACGTAAGAATCAGTTGCACTGCAGGTTGAAAAAACAATAGTTGACTAAATGGCTGCCATTAGTTCCAACTTTTCAAGTTATGTCATCCTCAGATTAGTTGTGTCTATTGTGTAGCAGTTAGGCACTTTGCTATTGCATGCAGGAGATCCGAGTTCGATTCCCAAGTAGGAACGCGTTTTACAGAGTATCTCAATCTTTCTGCTGGGATGTTGTATGCCTCTCAGCCTGGGCTGACCCTGAGAGTCAGGGTCAGAAGCCTGCCTCCTAAATGACTTAATTTGTGTTGATGGGGGCGTAAAACTCCTACATCAAAGAAACGTCCTCAGAATATCCACTGCGTTGCCCAAAAGTTGGGGAAATAGCTGGTCTTGGTTTTTCGAAGCTGAGTCTTGGGATCCGTGGAGTGTCGACTGGCAGAAAGTGCTACCAAGCGAATCTGAAAAACTCATTTCTCTAACAAATGCGTCGTCAGCAACATTGCCTGTACTAGAAGATGTATTCATTTCATCATGTCAACCATGGGAACCCACATCTTCTGCATTTTACTCTACGAAGCTCAGTCCCGACGTTGTGTCCTTAGGGAAGACACCTTACACACATTGTCCTCACTTTGCCCAGGTGTGAATGGGTATCGGGCCATAGACAGCGAAAGACCGTGTCAGTGTGTTAGTGTTTTAACGCCTATGAAGTGGCATTTTATGATCCCCAGGAAGTTGAGATTGTTTCAGAATGCTTGCTATCAGGTTTGCTGGGGTAGGCCTAATAATATCATAGATTTGTAAAGCGCATAGAGCTTGCTCCATTTGCGCCGTACAAAATAATGCTAATTATTATTTATTATTTGTTCAACTGGTTCTACTAAAAAAAAAAACAAAAAAAAAAAAAAAAAACATAAGAGGGGCTTTCGTGGTCGAGAAGTTACGGTGTTCGCCTCTCATTAAATAGGTTCCGGGTTGAAATCTGGAGAGCGACGGAAAATTTTATTCCCTAAAATTTCCTCTTTTCACCTCCGTTTCTGCTATCTAACAATGTTTAGTCCTCTGCTTTCGTCTCTACTTTCTGCCCCCACTCCCTTCACCTCCTTTTCCCACTCCCCTGGGCTTCTGACTCTTTCTGCAGCGTTTCTACTGCTACTCCGGGGTTCCTTCTCACTGCTGTCTTTCAGACACACTCTTATGGTAGGTAGGCCTAAGATCTTACCCCTGGCCTTCTCAGAAAAGGGCAAAAAATCCCGTGGTCCCTTGTGAAAGTTGTGCACGTTAAAATGATCCCTTGTTGGTCCTAAATCGATAAGAGTAGTAACTAGTATGCTTCGGCTGCCACCCGGGCAAAATTCGAAATTTCCTTCCAACTGAACATTGTTTTAATGCTTACCGCGGGCTCATATATGACCCTACGCAGTTGCGAGTGCCGTAAAACTTACATCAACAACAAAAATAACATTAATGTGGCATACATGGTAGGCAGGTTGCTTTAAAATTAAAGAGCTAATAAATAGTTGCAGTGTGGACGCATGGTTGAACAGGGCGAAGAAGGAACATTTTCCCACGCACTCTTTGTGTGTTTGGTATGGTTGATACCCGCACATCCAGGCTCACTTTTCTACCACAGGACAGGACTGCAAGCAAGGATATTTTCCTTTGATACCCCCCCCCCCAAAAGGACTCGAATACATCCACCTTCACAAGAGGATGCAACTGAGCACTTTACCCTACTTACATGCAAAGCACAGCAATTCGATTGCTAAATATAAGACTCCTTTTTATGTGTTTTAGGGCGCTCGCAACTGCGTAAGATCATATGAGCGCACGGGACACTTTAAACATTTTCAGCTGATGGTTGGAAATTTTGAATTTTGCCCGGGTGGCGGTCGAAGCCTACTCTTATCGATTTTAGACCACCAAGGGATTTTTAACGTGTGCACACGGGACCTCCGAGATTTTTCGCCCTTGTCCGAGAAGGCTAGGTGTAGATATTTCCTACCAGAAGATCTGAGGTGTGGCTGAAAGACAGCAGTAAGAAGAAGCCAAGGATTAGCCGTAGGAAGGCTGCAGAAAGAGTCAGGAGCCCAGAGCAGGGCACAAAGGAGGTGAAGGGTGGGGGCAGAAAGAGGAGACGGAAGCAGACGGCAGAACATTGCTAGAGAACAGGAACGGAGGTGAAAGGAGACACTTTTAGAGAACAACATTTTTCCGTCGCTACCCAGATTCGAACCCGGGACCTTCGAATGAGAAGCAAACACCTTAACCTGTAGGCCACAATGGCGTATGGCGAAGCCTATACGCTAAGCAGCCGGTATATGTGTCAACGATTTAAAAGATAAACAAATGAAGACGTCAGTTTTGTTTACGTTTTTTTAATTACAATAATATGTGTATTTAATACCGTTTTGTTAACATAATAACAATACAATGAGTAGGATATTACATTTATCTTTTATATGGTGATATCGTATGTACAGTTTCATCTACTCTTGCACGTCATGAGTCTTTGGAGGTAGAAATTTTAGACACAAATTGCAAACACCTTAATCTAATTCAGACTGAAAACTTACCTACCATTCTAGAAGAACACGTACGTTTAATCGACTAATTTAACATTTTGAGAAAAACACATTTGAAAATGCCCATATCGGTGATGCCAATTACGTCAAGTGAGAAAAACGAATTGATAGGGATTATATGCAAGGAATATAACTTTTCTTCCGCTTCACACCTTTTCATAATATTCCCATCAATATCTACTCCCTTACCTTGAAAAGCAGACTAACCTTCAGTTCAAAATACGAGAGACATTCCTTTTAGTCTAGTTAACGTTTACAAAAAAGGGGGGAAAAGGCAAAGTAATTTTATGAAAAAAAAACAAGAATTGGTCAACCGGTAACTTACTAAACCCCGATTCTTTTTTAGCTTTTGGAAGCACAGAATCAGTATGCATTTCATCTGTTTTTAAAAAGTCTTTATATCCAATACCCTAACTTTTAACATAAAAAATCCGTACTCCTTTGAAGTAAAAATATTCTTTTGCTATATATACACAGGATAATTTATCAACTTATCTTTCCATAGAGCTACCCGTGAAGTTTTTTTTTCTCTCCATAACTTAGATTCCATCACAGATAAAAGCAATACTTAAAGTTCCTGGGCCATTTACTCACCGAGTTTTACAGAAAAAAATCAAGCTAACACCACTTTCGAATTTCTGTACTACACTGCAGGCAAAGAATGAAATTAAAATATGACGTTATTGATTTGTATTGGGAGGAACCTCATATCCGAAAAACTAATAATAGAAAAGATCAATCAACAATAGAGCTAAAGAGAGAAAAATGGAAACAATACACAACAATCACAACGATTACAGAGACCGCCACAGTGAGAAGGCTATTCTTATGACAACAGCGAAGGTTACAACACTAACATCTCAGGACTGCATTTTGTAAGAAACGGAATGATGAAGAATAGAAAAATACAATTTGTCTTGTTTACTTTGGGAAAAAAAACAACAAACTACAACAACAAAAAACAAACAGCTCCTTAGCCAAAGAAAAATACAGGTGTACACGCTCAGTGAATTGTCCGTAACATTAGCAACCATGCAAGCATGTAACACTGATAAAGTAATGGAAATTTATAATGATAGAGAGCAGGAATAACCGAAAGCATAACCTCTTGAAAGCTGAATTTAAACAACAATAACAACAACAAAACATTAAAAACCCCAGAAAAGCAAAGCATTTGTGTCCAATTTGGGGGGGGGGGACCAAAAATTTAGTCCTGGGTTGAGCAAATAGAAAGCATC